TAGCGCCATCTTTTGAGGTTGGACAACAGTTCATGGATGAGCAGATCAGGAAGTATGTTCACAAGTACAATTTTACTCTGAATCCTGGAGGAGTTTTTGATGCCATACAGTCCCAGTACACCTTTTGGCCTGATCCTACAAACACAACTATGATCAGGGAAGAGTACATCAATGTAAGTGACTTGTTTAGGATTTTTGAGTGTTTCATCCTCAATTTGTGTGTCTGTTTTCCAGTTTCTGTCAGATTCTTTGTACAAAGCCCCAGTGGACAACATGGTGAAGAGAATGGTTCTTGCTGGGATTCCAACTTACTTTTATGTGATGAACACCACTGTGGAAGCAGTCAGACTTCCCTTGTGGAGACAAGTGCCTCATGGGATTGATTCTTTGTTTCTGGCTGGGGCTCCTTTCATGGACAAAGGTCATTTTTTAAAACATGTTTAACAGATTTTTGAATTGAAAGCTGATGTTTTTTGTTCCTGCAGAATTTTTTCCTGAGTCCATGAGAGTAGACAAGAGAGCTTGGACAGAAGGCGACAGGAATATGAGTGAATTCTTCATGAAAGCTGTGGCAAATTTTGCTCATCATGGGTGAGTTCGTTGTTGATGTGTGCTTATTTTCTTCTTCAAGGTAATAATGTTTTTTCTTTTGTGATTTCACAGGAAACCAACTCCTGAGGTCTAAAACTTGTAGTTGACCCTCTTTCGTGAAGAACCTCTAAACTCCATGGACTTACACTTGTTATGTAAGTTGTGGAGATACGACTGTTTAATATCTGTCGTTATGAAACCTAAGACCTGTTTGAACTTGCCCTTAGTGATTGGGAATCTAATCCCAACCATTGAACCTACAACTGAGGTGGGGGATGATTTATTATTCAAATTTATGGGTTCTGGGAACTAAGATTTGAGTACATTTTGCAGTACTGGTGGGAACCAACTGGACCAATTCAAATTGCCTTCTGGGGAGCCTCAGGAGCTGCCATTTTGTTTATGATCATCGTAGGAGTCTGTTGCTGCTTGTGGTGTTCATCCAGAAGGTGAGAGACA